CAGTTTAGCTCGTTACAGAAGCTACAAAACTGACCTTCCTTTCAGCAGATTGAGTTTATATACACTACACATATTTTTTTTCTCTTTTATCCACTTTACTTTTTTACTTTTTAAAAATATTTTACTACTGCACAAAAATTGCCCATAATGGGACAAATAAAAGCTACTGAACTGAATATATACACACACACACATATACATACACATATATATATATATATATATAAAGATATATATATATAAAGATGCAGTTTTAGCTAAATAATTAAGTAATTGAGCTTTTATGAACAAAACTAAAAAATATTTTTGAGCTGTAAAACATTTAATATAACAAACTATAAAAATATACTCGCTGCATCATTGGCTGACAGGCATGGAGCTTGGCTGACTCAAATTGGATCATACAAAGATGCGGACACTTTTGTCTTGTGGATAAGAAGATGATGTAAAGAACCACAGCAAACATTGCAGGCTAACAACCGAGGAAATACGTTTTAGGAAGTAATAAATAACATGCTAAGCATTAGCCATAGCCATATGACCAGCTAACTTTTCTTTTGTCAAAAAACAGATGTTTTATGGCGATTTTCTCATCATGGAATATTTTTATTACGAATATTCTGGATTACTTTTAATCTGTGGACCCTTATGGACGAATGGATTATAAACAATCGAAGATTGGATTTATAAAACGGATTCTGGACGCCTTGAAAGGGATGTTTTTGTGGCTGGTTTATAATGTTTACCTTTTGACATGCTGCTATATCTGTGTTAATTGTGCTTTGGTGCTTGTTGTGTCCATAAAATGAACTTGGTGGTTGAATTGTGGAGAATCTAAGCTTTCCAACGATGTCTAACATGTCTATATTGGAAAACATTTGACTGCTTTCATGTTTTCTGAGTTGTTAGTTGCTTTAAAAATGGTCGCTGGCGAGCAGGTGGATTTTAGGAGGTTAAATGTCTGAGCTCAGTCTGTCTCAGAAGGCAGTGCTTCACTTCTTTCAACACTCAGAATGATGGTTTTCTACTTTCAGCTACTTTAGAGCGTAGATGAAAAATAGAATAATAGTAAATATGGGGAATATGTTGAGACTCCAGAAGAAATCTGATTCTAAAGAAACAGATGTAATACAGTCTGTCTGAGTGGGGTTGCCATATGATGATGTGATATGAGGACATTTGAATTGAGAAAGCTTCCTGGAGGTGAAGCGAAACGTCTTCAAACCTTGGAAACCAGCAGTGGATTGTTTTTAAACTTTTACGGAAAAACATATGATGATGTCATAAAAAAGGGCCTCCAGCAGTTCTGGTACCTGCAGCGGTCAGAGGAGGCTCAGAGACTCACCAGCTCGTCGTTCCTCCTCTGCAGCTCTGAGGCTCTCTCCACCAGGTGGTCATAACTCTCCTTCAGCTTGTGGATCTTCTGGTCCGCACGGGTTTTCACCGACACCAAGATCCCTGCAGCGTGATCAGACACAGTCAGCCAGTGCCTGATACATCCACAGTCCACTTCCACACCTCGCTCTGAGGGACACTGACCGTTTACGATTCTGGCCACTCTCCAAAGTCGCAGCAGGATGAGGAGACCCACGCCGTCGAAGGCGTCCTCATGGAAGATGAAGACAATGTCCAACACAAATGACACGACCACCACCACGGCGTCAAACACCTCAAACTTGTGGTAAAAGAACTCAAGCCGGAAAACAAACAGCTTCCCAATGAGCTCCACCATGAAGAAGGTGAGAAGAGCCAGGCTGAGGTAGTGGAACACCTGCAGAGTGAAGACGTGCTGGACTTCATGAAACCAGCAAGAAGAACTTTCTGCATCTGGATCTGTGTCTCACCTCAGGAGCAATGTGGCCGTGGTCCAGTTTGATGACTGACAGGTCTATCAGCAGCTCCGCCATGACGAAGAAGGCGTCCAGGACGACCAAAGCCACCACCAGTATCTAAAGGGGAGGAGCCAGAGACAGCAGGAGAGATGTTCCAACCGCTGGACTTAGAGCCAACAGCTCAACTTCAGAGCCAACTGGTCCGAATAAGACCCAACTGGTCCGAATAGGTACCCAACTGGTCCCAATGGGTACCCATTCGGACCAGTTGGGTCTTATTCGGACCAGTTGGGT